ATCAAGGCATACACATTTCAGCTCTTGTGGACTTGTTTCAATTGTCTTCAGCTTCAACTTGAACTTGCATATGAGCAGCTGATGGTCTGTTCCACAGTCAGCTCCTGGGAGCCTGGTGATGTAGTACCTAAGACATCTGAATGCTAACCAGAAGGCTGGCAGTTCAAACCCACCAGCCACTTTTCAGTAGGCAGGCTGGACAATCTATAGAGACTACCTCAGAAACCCAAGGAGGGGTTGCTATAAGTTGGGACTGACTCGACAGCAGTGAGTTTGGTTTGGTTATCACCTCTTTCTATAGATGTAATCAATCTAATTCCCTGGTATTCCATCTGGCAAAGTCCACACACGTGGCTGCCTTTTATGTTACTGAAAAAAGGTATTTGCAATGGATAAGTCATCAGTCTCGCAAAATTCTATCATGCTATCTCCAGAGTCATTTCTATCACCAAGGCCATATTTTCCAACTACTGGCTATTCCTCTTAGTTTCCAACTTTTGCATTCCAATCACCAGTGATAATCAACACATCTTGATTGCATGTTTGGTCAATTTCAGAGTGCAGAAGTTGGTAAAAATTTTCAATTTCCTCGTCTTTGACTTTGGTGGTTGGTGTATAAGTCTGAATAACAGTAGTATCAACTAGTCTTCCTTGTAGGCATATGGATATTATCCTCTCACTGACAGTACTGTACTTCAGGCTTGTTGATATAGCACAATTCAAATTGAGAAGAAATAACTGCAAATATCCATTAATAATCAGAGCAAGGATTTTCAAAGTGTGAATCTAGGAAAATTGGAAGTTGTAAAAAATGAAATGGAACACTTGAAGACAATATCCTATGTATTAGTGAGCTGAAATGAAATGGTATTGGCCATTTTTAATCAGAGAACAGTATGGTCTACTATGCCAAGAATACAAATTGAAAAGGAATAGCAACGCATTCTTGTCAAAAAGGACATTTCAAAATCTAGCTGAAATATAACACTGCCAATGATAGGATAATATCTATATGATTACAAGGAAGGCCAGCTGATACTCAAATTCATGTAGCAACCACTATAGCCAAAGATGAAGAAATTGAAGATTTTCACCAACTTTTTCTATAGTCTCAAATTGACCAAACATGGAATCAAGATGCACTGATAATTAATGGTGATCGGAATGCAAAAGAAGGATCAGTAGTTGGAAAATACAGCCTTGGTGATAGAAACAATGTTGGAGATCATATGACAGATATTTGCAAGAATAATGACCTTTTTACTGAAGATACCTTCTTTCAACAACGTAAATGCTGACTATACATTTGTCTTTTGCCAGATGGAATGTACAAGAATCAAATCGACAAACATCTGTTAAAAGAGATGATGCAGAAGCACAATACCATCAGTCAGAAAAAGGCCAGGGGCCAACCGCAGACAGACCATCAATTGCTCATATGCCAGTTCAACCTGAAGCTGAAGAAAATAACAAGTTCATGAGAGCCAAAATACTACCTTGAGCATATCCCACATGAATTTAGAGACCATCTCAAAAACAGATATGACACACTGAAAACTAATGACTGAAGACCAGATAAGCTGTGGGATGACATCAAGGACTTCATACATGAAAGAAAGCAAAAGGTCATTAAAAGACAGGAAAGGAGACCCGATACTTGCTCCTGAACATAGAACAACTAAAGCAAACAGAAGAAATGATGACATAAAAGAACTGAACAGAAGATTTCAAAGGGCAGCTCGAGAAGATAAAGTGAAATATTATAATGAAATGTGCAAAGATCTGGAGTTAAAAAATCAAAAAGGAAGAATACATTTGGTATTTCTGAAGAACTTAAGAAAAAATTCAAGCCTGGATTTCAAACTGAAGGATTCTATGGGTTAAAAATTGAACAATGCAAGAAGCAGCAAAAGAAGATAGAAGGAATACACAATGTTATTGTACCAAAAAGAACTGGTTGTGATGTTCAGTGATTTCAGGAGGTAACATATGATCAGAATTGATGGCACTGAAGAAAAAATACACGATACACTAAAGACAATGGTGACAAACAAGGCTCCAGGAATTGATGGAATACCAATTGCTGTTTCAACGAATGGATGCAAAGCTGGATGCACTCACTTGTCTATGCTAAGAAATCTGGAAGATGGCTACTTGGTCAACTGACTGGAAGACATTCATATTTGTGTACATTTCAAAGAAAGGTGATCCATTAGAATGTGAAAATTATTGAACAATATCATTAATATCACATGAAAATAAATTTTTGCTGAAGATTATTAAAAAATGGATATAGCAGTACATCAAAAGGGAACTGCAAGAAATTCAAGGCAGATTCAGAACAGGACATGGATGTGTCAGATAGATCTTGGCTGAAAGCAAAGAATAATGGAAAGATGTTTACCTGTGTTTCATCAATTGTGCAAAGGCACCGGACTAGATAGATCTTGACAACTCTTGGATGACATTGAGAACAATGGGAATTCCAGAACACTTAATTGTGCTCATGTGAAAATTGTACACAGACCAACATGCAGTCAGTTGATCAGAACAAGGGGATACTACTACATGGTTTAAAATCAGGAAAGGTGTGTGTTCTGGTTACCTAGTGCCACTCTGACAAGAAATATACCACAAACGGGATGGCCTTAACAAACAGGAATTTATTCTCTCACAATTTGGAGGCTTTAAGTCCAAGTTCAAAGTGCCAGGCTCTAGGGGCTGGGTAAAACCCCTCAACCTTGGGGTCCAGCTCTGCCTCCTGCTCCTGGCCCACTGGAGCTAGAGGCATTTCTTCACTCAGACAGCTGTTGGCTGCTGAGGCTGAGAAGCTCCAAGGTTGACAAGTAAAAAGGTACAGTCCTGATGTTACCAATTCACATGGCAGGCCATTAACAAGTTCACTGTAAGTCCTAAGGTCAGCAGAGTATAGCAGGCTGCTGAGCAACAACATGGCTACATGCAGGATCCAAGCGTGCCAAAGGCTAGAGACCATACCCAAAGGCTTCTCCTTCTATACAGGAAGCAGACTACATACCCAAAGGCAGCTACCCAGCTGCTTGTGGTAGATCCCACCATGGCGTTGACTGCCAGTCTCCTCATGGGGATTAACTACCACCATCTGCCCAGCCACTCAACCAAGCCCAGCCAAGTTGACACACAAACTGAACTACCACAGTGTGCGTCAGGGTTGTATCTTTTCACCACATTTATCCTCTGTTTGTTGAGCAAATAATCTAAGAAGCCAAACTATATGAAGAAGAATGTGGCATCAGATTGGAGGAAGACTGGTTAATTTGCAATATGCAGATGACATAACTTTGCTTACTGAAATGAAGAAGACTTGGAGGAAATTACTGATGAAGATCAAAGACTACAACCTTCAGTGTGGATTATACTTCAACATTAAAAAAAAAAAAATCCTCACATCATGGTAATAGAGAAAAGATTAAATTTGCCAAGGATTTCACTTTACTTGGATCTGCAGTCAACACCCATGGAAGCTGCAGTTAAGAAATCAAACGACGCACTGCATCAGGTAAATCTCCTGAAAAGACCTCTTTAAAGTATTAAAAAGAAAAGCTGTCACTTTGAGGACTAAGGTGTGCCTGACCCAAGCCATTGTATTTTCAATCGTCTGATATGCATGCAAAAGCTGGATAAGGAATAAGGAAGACAAAGAAGAACTGATGCACCTGAATTATGGTGCTGGCATAAAATACTGAATATACATACCATGGACTGCCAGAAGAACAACCATGTCTTGGAAGAAGTATAGCCAGAATGCTCCTTAGGAGGAGGTTGGTGAGACTATGTCTCACTTACTCTGGACACATTATCAGGAGGAACCAGTCCCTGTAGAAGGCCATGTTTGGTAAAGTAGGTCAATGAAAAAGAGGAGCACCTTCAATGAGATGGACTGACAGGGACTCCAACAATGGGCTCAAATATAGCAATGATTATAAGGATGGTGCAGGACCAGACAGTGTTCTGTTCTTTTATAGAGGTTTGCTATGAGTTGTAACTAACTCAACTGTACCTAACAACAACAATCCATGCAAAGGACAACACTGTTAATTTACAAATGCTGACCCTTATAAGGTTGTTAAATTGTTACCATTGGTAAAAATTATATGATTTTTCTGGGAGTTTACTTGCTTGATCTTTTTAAGGTTAGAATCTCTAACATGTATTAAGTTAAAACTATGTTAATATTTAAAACTTAGTAGAGTGTATAAAAGAATTTAAAGAATGTATGCATTTAATGGATCAAATATAAATTTTTGAGAATTTAGTTAATCAAAATTTTTAAAGTTTTAAGCGGTACAAAAATATAACTCAAGTGTAAGTAAGAATTCTAAAAAACCAGTAAAGAAATGCTAATAAAACATTAAAGGAAAATAACCAGAAGATTAAAAAGAAATTTTTTGATGGAAAAAAAAGGCAATTTTTTTTTTACTGAAGAGATGAAAAGAGTGGCTGGAAATGAAAAAGATTGTGAATGCTACAGAAATATACAAATCATTATATACACATAATCACAAGCAAAATTATCACATACAAATAATCAATAAGCAGTCATTAATGTAGAAACATACATCACGGGATGGTTCTACAATTGTAAACAATGCAATGCAAGACAAAGGCACAAGAGTGGTAGGCTTTAGTACAGCCACAGCCTAAGAGCTACTCACTGGGGAAACGTGCAAAGGAAAAGTTTACAAAAGTTTAGAAAGAAAATATAACAGAATACAATCCAATAAAGATTTCTAAAACTATGGGTACCATCTCTACTTAATTCCAGATAATTTTAATTTGTTCTCTTAAGAGATCAATCATTTGATTTGTTAAGGGTTATATTTGAACAGAATGAGAGTGCTACATTATAGGGAAAGGAAAGATGAATAAAATGAATAAATAAGATTTGCTAGTCCAGCACGTCATGCCAGGTGCAACTAGTCACGCTATTATTAGAAATAAAATGTTAAAAACTCACTCACTATCTTCTGTGGGAAGGACTTGCAGGGAGTAAATCCACTCTATTATATCATCTTTGTTCACGACATCTAAGGAATCCAACATATCCAGTCCAGAGAGTGCAAAAAATGCAATTGTCAACCTAGAAGAAAAATGTAAAATTCCATCTTAATTATCAAACCACTACACTCTTTTGGGTTCAGAAAAATAATTAACTCATTCTGATTTTACAATGATTTTACCAATATTCCAAACCTGCAAAAGCCAATACAAACAATTTATTCTTTTACTTTAACAGTATTAGTCATATGTTTCTTTCAATCTTTTTTTAAAGGGATATTTAGAGGTTAAAAAGGGAAAGAAACCAATCCTACTTCATTGAGGCATTGCCATGCAGTGAATTACTTAATATGGCTCTTCTAGTCATGGTTTTTGTTACTCCCACCAGATGACTGGGAGAGACTATACAAATGAGGTACTTGTGGTCCAAGTACCTCATTTGAATAGCTTGTTAATGTTGTAAATATGGTATCTGGTACCCTTGTATGGATCCAAAAAAAAACAAAACAAACTCATTGCCATCAAGTCGGGTCCGACTCAGAGCAACCCCTCCTTGGGTTTTTGAGGCAGTATCACTACTGAAGTAGATTGCCCAATCTACCTTCCAAGGAACGGCTGTCGGGTTTGAGCCGCCAGCCTTCTGGTTTAGCAGTCAAGTGCCTTAGGCACTACACCACCATGAAAATAAGGTATACAGAACCCTAACATGGGGACTGATCAGTTTTACCATCCTGCTAGGCTTAAAAAAAGCCATCCCAGAGGTAGAAAGGAGGATCTCAATACCATCAAGAAAGAAAAGCCAGGAATAGAGTGCATCCTTGGACTGAGATCCCTGTACTGAGATGGTAAGAAGCAGCAGCAAAGAAATGGCAGCAGCAGAGGCAGCATAACCAAGAGATCATCAGAGCAAGACAGAATGGTGTGCTTCCCAGCCACGGAGTAAGAAAGCCAAGTGCCTTCGAGCAGAAGGCTTGCTAGGCAAGAGGGTGCATTTCTGGACTTCTATCAGCAGAGCTAAAAAAGCTTTGTAACACTTGTCCCGGAAAGACAGAGGCTAAGGGGCCACAGGGCCAAAAGGCCAAGGACCAGAGAGAGGTATGCCTGAGGTGGCTGAGAAGTTGGCTTGATCAAAGAACAGTATCCTGAGTCATTTCTGATTCTGAATTGCAACCTGTTACTTCCCTAATAAATCCCATAATCATGTGTCCTGTCTGTGAATTATGCATGCCAATTGCAATGAATTGCTGAACCCAGCAGAGAAGTAGAGAGTGCCATGGGAGGGATGGCTGGTGTCAAAAATAGTAAGGAGTTTTCAGGGTGGCAGTATGTCTGACCTCCACCTCACAGGAATCAGCCTTGGGCTATTGATGTTGTTCTGGGTCCTCTTTCCCCCTTGTAAGTTAGAAGAGGTCAGAAGCTACCACTCCCATGCGATTTTTGCAGGTATACATGAATTCACTAAAGCCTATATCAGCAACTTGAAGGCTAAAAGTAGATTCAGAAATGAGAATTCTTTGTACCTGTTCAGTACAAATACAAACAAAAGGATGGAAAATATATACACATTTCAATGGCAATGGGTTTTCGTTAAGAGAATTATGTTTAATTGCTGGTGTTTAATTCTTGAGATCACCACTTGTCTGTTGGTTTGCTGTACTGTGGTAGCTTGCGTGTTGCTGCGAGGCTGGAGACTATGACACCGGTATTTCAAATACCAGTAGGATCACCCACCGTGGACAGGTTTCAGTGGAGTTTGTAGCATAAGTCAGACTCGGAAGAAGGAAGGGGCCATCCACTTCTCAAAGAATTGGCCAGTGAAAACCTTATGAATACCAGTGAAACACTGTCTGATATACTACTGGAAAACTTTATGAATAGCCCTGAAACACCGCCCAATATAGTGCTGGAAAATGAGCCCTTCAGGTCAGAAGGCACTCAAAATATGGCTGGGGAAACGCTGCCTCTTCAGAGTAGAGCTGACAAAGACGTGGATGGAGTAAAGCTTTTGAGACCTCCATTTGCTGATGTGGCATGATTCAAAATGAGAAGAAATAGGGGCAAATACCCATTAATAATCAGAAGATGGAATGTACAAAGTATGAGTCTAGGAAAACTGGAAGTTGTCAAGAATGAAATGGAACACATAAAGATTGATATCCTAGGCATTTGTGAGCTGAAATGGGCTGGTTTTGGCCATTCTGAATCAGACGATCATATAATCTACTATGCTGGGAATGACAAATTGAAGAATGGCATGGCATTCATCGTCATGAAGAATGTTTCAAGATCTATCCTGAAGTACAATGCTGTCAGTGATAGGACAATATCCAAAGTTCAAGGAAGACCAGTTAATATGACTATTATTCAAATCTACACACCAACCACCAAAGCCAAAGATGAGGAAATTGAAGATTTTACCAACTTCTGTAGTCTGAAATTGACCAAATATGCAATCAAGATGTGTTGATTATCACTGGTGATTGGAATGCACAAGTTGGAAAAAGAGAAGAATTACTGGTAGTTAGAAAATATAGCCTTGGTGATAGAAATGACGATGGAGATCACATGACAGAATTTTGCAAGACCCATGACTTATTCATTGCAAATACCTTTTTTCAACAACACAAATGGTGGCTTCACCAGATGGAGTACACAGGAATCAGACTGACAACATCTGTGGAAAAAGGAGGCAGAAAAGCTCAGTATCTTTAGCTGAAACAAGGCCAGGAGCTGACTGTGGAGCAGATCATCAACTCGGATGAAAGTTCAAGCTGAAGTTGAACTTATCCTTTCACTATACTTATTCAATGTGTATGCTGAGTAAATCATCTCAGAAGCTGGACTATATGAAGAAGAGTGTGGCATCAGGATTGGAGGAAGACTCATTAACAAATTGCGATACGCAGATGACACAACTCTGCTTGCTGAAAGTGAGGATGACTTGATGCACTTACTGATGAAGACTGAAGACTACAGTCTGGAGTATGGATTATACCTGAACATAAAGAAAACAAAAGTCCTCACAAATGGACCAATAAGCAGCATCACAATAAATGGCTAAAAGATTGAAGTTGTCAATTAAAACAAGTCCACGAGAGCCTAAATATGACCTTGATTATATCCTTCCTGAATTTAGAAACCATCTAAAGAATAGATTTGATGCACTGAACACCAATGACTGAAAACCAGAAGCTGTGGGGTGATATCAAGAACATCATCCATGAAGAAAGCAAAAGGTCACTAAAAAGACAGGAAAGGAAAAAGATCAAAATGGATGTTAGAAGAGACTCTGAAACTTGCCCTTCAATGGAGAGTAGCTAAAGCAAATGGAAGAAATGACAAGATGAAAGAGCTGAACAGAAGATTTCAAAAAGCAGCTCGAGCAGACAAAGTCAATTACTATAATGAAATGTGCAAAGACCTGGAGTTAGAAACCAAAAGGGAAGAATACGCTCAGCATTTCTCAAGCTGAAAGAACTGAGGAAAAAAATTTAAGCCTCGAGTTGCAATATTGAAAGATTCTATGAGCAAAATATTGAATGATGTAGGTAATATCAAAAGATGGAAGGAATTCACAGTCACTATACCAAAAAGAATTGGTTGAGGTTCATCCATTTCAGGAAGTGTTATTATGATCAAAAACCACTGATATTGAAGGAAGAAGTTAAAGTTGCACTGAAGGAAGTGGCAAAAAACAAGGCTCCAGGAATTGACGGAATACCCACTGAGATGTTTCAACAAGTGGATGCCCCACTGGCAGCACTCACTTGGCCATGCCAAGAAATATGGAAGACAACTACCTGGCCAACTGACTGGAAGAGATTCCTATTTGTACTCATTCCAAAGACAGGTGATCCCACTGAATATGGAAATTATCAAACAATATCATTAAGATCACACATAAGTCAAATCTTACTGAAGATAATTCAAAAACGGTTGGAGCAGTATATTGACAGAGAACTTACAGAAATGCAAGCTGGATTCAGAAGAGGACATGGGAGGAAGGATATCACTGCTGATGTCAGATGGATCTTGGCTAAAAGCAAATACTACAAAGATGGTTGCTTGTGTTTTACTGACCATACAAAAGCATTCGATTTTATGGATCATAACAAATTATGGTTAACATTGAGAAGAACGGGAATTCCAGAACACTTAATTGTGCTCATGATGAGCTCGTACATAGATAAGGAGGCTGTCATTCAAACAGAACATGGGGCTACCACATGGTTTAAAATCAGAAAGGGAGTGCGTCAGGGTTGTATCCTTTCCCCATACTTATTCAATTTGTATGCTGAGTAAATAATCCGAGAAGCCTCATTAAGAACCTGCAATATATGCAGATGACACAACCCTGCCTGCTGAGAGTGAGGATGACTTGAAGCACTTACTGATGAAGACTGAAGACTACAGTCTGCAGTATGGATTACACCTCAACATAAAGAAAACAAAAATCCTCACAACTGGTCCAATAAGCAGCATCACAATAAATGGAGAAAAGGTTGAAGTGATCAAATATTTCATATTACTTTGGTCCACAATCAACACTAATGGAAGCAGCAGTCAAGATGTCAGATGACGTACTGCACTGGGGAAATCTGTCGCAAAAGAACTCTTTAAAAAGCTGAAGAGCAAAGATGTCTCCTTGAGGACTAAGGTGTGTCTAACCCAAGCCATTGCATTTTCAATAGCCTCAAATGCATGTGGAAAGCTAGACAACAAATAAGGAAGACCAATGAAGAGTTGATGCTTTTGAGTTGTGGTGTTGGTGAAGAATACTGAAAGTACCATGGGCTGCCAAAAGAACGAACATACCTGTCCTGGAAGAAGTGCAGCCGGAAGGCTCCTTGGAAGTGAGAATGGCCAGACTTGGTCTCACCCACTTTGGTCATATTGTCAGAAGAGACCATCCCCTGGAGAAGGCTATCATGCTTGGTAAAGTGGAGGGTCAACAAAAAAGGGTAACGCCCTCAACAAGATGGACTGACAAAGTGGCTGCAATAATGAGCTCAGTTATAGCAAGGATTGTGAGGCTAGCACAGGACTGGGCACTGTTTCATTCTGTTGTATCCAGGGTTGCTA